TGTAGATCGGGTGTCCGCGCTAAGTTTGGCGTCAATATGGGGAACACGGAGGAATCTGAGTTCTCCAGGTTGGTTAAAGAGGAGCGAACCGGCCCAGGGTGGAAACACAGCAGGCAAAAGCTCCCGCGTCAAACAGTAGTGGGATAGCACCTGTGAATAGGCGATCGTTCACAGCCCGTTCAAGATAGTCGAACTCGACTCTGTTTTTTGTTTTATTTTTTATTCTTTTTTTTTTTCTTGTCCAATGCTTTTTCTTTAACATATAGCTAACTCAACCATCCATATAATATCTTTATTTCAATAATAAAAATTAGTTTTCTTTCAAAACCTATATTTTTTATTTTAATTTTTTTTACCCCTTGCCAGAGATTTTTGCATAACTGACTTATTTTAACGCGAGGATGCGAATACACTGACGCAAAAAAAAAAAATGATACTTAGCGTTATTAAATTTCTGCCGGTTGTTAAGTTAATTCGAAAATTTGGGACCTTTCGCTGGATGCACCAAAGAAAGGATATTAGGGGGTGTTTACATGAGAAAACTCGCACCGGCGTGAGTTTCATACCGGGATGACTTTGATTTCGTATCGCGTTTACATGATGACTGGGTCATTTCATATCTCGCTATTTGAAGGTACACTTCATGTTGATAAAAATACAACCGTGATTGAAAATTGCAAACATTGCGCATGCGCTTCTTGTTCCAGTCTACTGGCCGATTTCACACCGAAACGCGTGGTCGTTTCACGTTTACATGATACCGTTGCGCGAGATTTCGTACCGGAGTGAACTTCTCGCCCCGGTATAACAACCGGGGTGAACTTCCGCCGGTGCGACGCGGGCTGGCATGACATTCTGTGGTGGCATCATGTAAACAAATGTAGAGCCATGAGAGGGAACCGGAGTGAACTCGCTCCGGCGCGAAAGTCGCCCCGGTGTCATAGTCTCTCGTTAGTGTCCAATTGCACTCGTCAGCTGTTTCTGACCATGTCAAAACCATCGGGATCATTTTGAAATTTTATCATCAAGCAAAACTGACTAATCATTGTAAAATAAAAGAAACCTTGTTTATTCAAGAGGTTAAGCCAGTTTTTCGTTAACTTCAGCAGTGAGAAGCTGATGCTCTATTAATTATTTAGCTGCTGCTTATCTTTATCTCAGTTTCAGACTCATTATCACTTTTGTGTTAATATAGCTGTCAAAACCGTACTGTTATAATAATGCGTACGTTTTGTACGTTAATATTTATCACCGCTAGCAGTTACCGCTGTCAGTGTGTTTCGTTTTAGACTAGAAAGGGCCGAAAATCACCTTATTTTCGAGGGGTTTTCAGAGGCTGCGATCCTTTACTTAGCCGGCAAGGATCACGCTCGTTAGCAGTTGCACTAACGAGTGACGTAGGTTCTGCTAGTTCTGGTAGCCTCCCACACAGACGAACGTTCGTGGGACAGGAGCACGTGCTTAAGCCTTGGGAACTTCTGTGTGGAAGATTCTGGGAACAAGATAGCCTGTACATAGACGTTGTTTTCCTGTCGACGAGCGCGCGCGAGAGAGAGCGGACCGCGAGAACGAGGGCGGGGTGCGAGAATAAATCTCCCGAGGTTTTTAATTCTATAGGCGCGCTTGACGATCTTTAAAGAGAAAATAGAGGGTATGTGAACAAGCTAGCCGGAACGAGACCACGTATGATATGTATTTACTCGTTCCCAGAGCGTTTTCCTTTGGAAAAAGAATGGGATTCTTTAGAAAAGCCCTGAGAACGAGGTTGAGCGATAAGGCCCCAAGGGCCCAAGGGTTAAAATAGTTCTTTGTAGGGCACATGATCATGCACTCTCAAATGGCTCCAGTCACCGGGTCCGATTATCCCTAAGGAGAAGCCCTTAGAAACAGACTATATTCGGCCCCAGGACTAACATCAGATAGTTTAAATTTCCAATGGGTTATATACAATAAAAAGTTTTGGAAACTAGAAAAAACTCCTAATATTCACCTAAAATCACAGTCGAGCGCTGTAAGCTTGGGCAGTGTTTTCACTTTTATCTCGTAAATCAAATAAATTCGGTCTTGTAGTACGTATGCAACGGTCTGATGTGTTTAAGAGTTCAAAGACTGCGAAGTGTCGTAGAAATATATATTGGGCAAATCTTGCTGTTTGGCCTATTGTAGCCTCATTCTAAGCCCAGTGGGACTTAGTCGACTTTAGTCTTCCATTCAACCTCCACTTCAAACGAAGTTCATGTAGGTCATTGCAGTCAAACTCAGAATGATACGGAGTGAAGCGCCTTTCGCTGAGGTTAGAGTGCTTAACAAGTACGAATCCGAGGAACTTATTCCTTGAAGTGCCAACGGATTCTTGCAGCGTCTCTTCACAGATGTTGGCAACGGATTTGCAGCGGGCGAAGGTCCCGAGGGATTATTACACAGACCCTCCTCACAGCAACTGACATCACATTGCGAAAGCTTGTAGTCTGGAAACATTCCTTGTATTGAAGTCGTTCTGCAGATTAGATTCTTTAGCTGACTGCACTTTGATTGTACTGTGCAGTCCAGAATGTGGTACGTGAACTGGTCGATATTTATGTGTGACATGTTGACCTTGAACGTAACGCTAGCTTTGTAGCAGGAGTCAGCGTGACCCGCCATATTTGGATCCCGGCAACAGTCTAAACTGTCGGTGGGGTTATTGCAAAGGTTTAAGCCACTCAAATTCCCCTTGCTTAGGGACAGTGCCATGTTGGCGTAGTTGGGCTGACATGTGTAGCAGCTTACGGCAAATACTGCAATGAAAAAAGATGACGTCAATGACGTTAATGCAGTCAAACCCCTGTTTCTTTACACCTTTGTAGCATCAAAGCCTCATTTATGATCATTTATCCACTTCTTACAATTGATTTTTCACCTATGTTTTGAAATGCCATTCTTTTCCAGGGTCCTTTCTAATCTATTTTTCTATGTTGAGATTAAGCAGATGAGCCGAGGATCGATCCAGGATTAGAAAATTTACCTTTATGCATTGCAGGCCCGTAGGAAGGGGGGGGGAAGACGGGTGCGCTCGCACACCCCCCCCCCTTTCCCACAGGCTACACAGGTGCACTTTTTTTGTTGATCAGCCGATTTTTAAAGTGAATTTATAGTATTCCTATATTCTAATTCACAAATTGTGTGGTACAATTGAAATACTTTGAAAGAGTTGACAAGCCTGACTTACACACGCTTTCCACAAAACATATTTTAGCCTTCGTTACTGATATAAAAGGGGATTTAGTATGCCTTCAAGACATTTACCCCTTGCTAATATTTATACGTCGCTTGCTCTTTCACTTTGTCCCTAACGGGTAAAGTCTGTTTTGGAGGACTCGTAGCGTTGCTTGCAGGACTGTTTCGGGATATTGAAGCTACTACTAAAGCTACCCTACTCTTGTAATCCAAAAAATTGTACTGTCACTCGGATAAGAGTGTTGCAACATTCAACTCCAAGCCTTTTCATGTAAATAAGACTAATGTTAGTGGCGAGTCTTAGGCCTGGAGCACGATAATGTTAATGTTCCTCCTTTTGTGGTTATCGGGACAGTTGCTAGCTAGGGAGAAAAATCACTTTTTAAAACTTTGTTTTGTCATCTTTATCAGGACTGCAAACGACCCCCGGTACAAAATGGCACAATTTTAGGACTGGACCGTTTTAGTGATTACCTTGCATTTGATCAGTCAGATATCACCAGAAAAACATGTTATAACGTAAATTTACAGCTGATTTCAGTGCTGTGTATACACCCAGATTTTTAGACATGATTCGACGGTCATGATTCGACCGTCATGATTCGACCGAGAGGTTACCAAGCAGTACAGTATTTTACGTTGAATATCCTACAGGAATCAAAGCACACAATCTTAAAGTTACTTTAATGATAACTTGAATGTTTCTCTTGCAATTCAGAAAAAGAGGAGCGTGATCCGTAATTTGTGCTCCTTTTCAGACAACAGCCTCTCATACAAGTCACGCAATCTAATCGCAATACATGTTATCGGGCGTATGGACGTCTCGATCAATAAGTTTTTCGGCTCTTTTCCCAACTTTTTTTGAGCTTCTACCTTGATCTTTAAAGAAATATCATATTTTACCTTTTTTCAATAAAAACAAATGTTGCTTTCTTTTATGTATGGTTTTCTTTATTTGTGCTCACTAGGGTCATAGGTCGAGGACCGAACATTGTGATATTTTTCAATGGTCGACAAAACAAAACTTTCAAACTCTCCAGCAAATTCTTTCACAACGGCAGACTGATCAATTTATCTGTTGATTTCTTCTGCAAAAAGTCAAGTTTTCCTGTTATTTTTTAACCATGCAGAAGCTAAGTAAGGACCAAAAAGTACCAACTTGAAGAAATACAAATTTGCCTCCCTGATAACTAAATTTGCATCACTGTTACATGTAAATTGCGGGTGGTATTCACCAACGGCGAAATACCGAAACCTTGTCAAACGGAAGAACACTAAACGATAAACCATCGGACTATTTCGCTTTTCGCCGTATTGATAATATTTCGTCCATTATGAAATCGCCTTCAGAAATACATCGAACTCCAGGTTTATCACCCGATCACATGTTATCCTAATTTCTGTATCATGTCGCCGCTTTCCAGGCAACAAAGCTTTCCTCTTCGGGTAAAACGCATTTGTCAGGATTCTAGCTTCGTTACACTTATGTCCTTTAGTGCTAAGCTTTCCTTGCCAGCCAGATTTTTCCCTCACTGCTTCGGATCCCACGGCAGAACTCTCAATAATTTTTGCAACCGTTTACCCACTGCGAAGCGATACGTCACGTGATTAGTGTCGAATCATCACAGGTCGAATCATGGCCGTCGAATCATGTCTGAAAATCCGGGTGTATACATAGCAATGGAATCAGCTGTAAGAATGCTGTGAAAAACAAATTAACCGGTAAAGATATCGATGATCATAACTGATAATTGAAGGCCTCCTGCTGAGATTTAAGAAAACAGTTTTACTTCACTGGATCAGAATGTGAGCCTGTGAGCCTGTCAATCTCAATTTGTGATTGCAATTGGCAGAATGGCAGGGAATGGGTACATTACGTGTTCCAATGCATGCCTCCATAAATTCCGGCAATCGGTGAGGATTTCTGCAGTGCGTGTTTTTAAAATAAAATCAGAATAACAGTTTTTCGCTTTAAAACAGTCTAAGTTTCTTAAAATTTACTCTAAGAATCGAACCAAGTCAAGTGTTTTTTGCCATTACAGTTCAAGTGTGGACTTCTTGTTCCGGTTTATCCCTTAATATCGCGCATCGTTATAGTGTATTGTACCAGGTACGAGCATTACGCGTTTCAAACAGAAATTACTTACAGTAATTTTTCTTACAGAATTAAGAGGTAAGAAATAAAGTCCGTTTCGTTATTAGATAAAACGGTTTCAATTAGCAACTTGTTTTGGAAACTGACAATCGTATACGAATATGAATAGCTTATAATAGAGTTTGATCCGCTCAGTCTAGCTAAAAACGGGAAATAAGTGATTTTTGTGCTATCTACTCTGAATTCAGGCCGCTATGTATTTTATCAAAGATGGTCCACATTTCCCTTAGTGGAAAACTAAAGGTGTTTGATGCTAGTCTAAAATGACTTATGCCTCCTCCCTCATGCATGAGAAATGCTTAGAACTGGGAAATTACGACGTACTGCACAATGAGTAAAGAAACACACATACGCTACTCTAGATCCCCAATTTTTTTCTTACTTTCCGAAAAAAATTTAGCCCACAGGTTCTTAATTACTAGCATCCTGATTATGGTACAAGAAATTTTACTTCACTTCAACGTAGAGGTAAAGGGCAAACATATTTTGGGTCTTTTTGACCTTCGACTGCATGAACTGTGTTTATTTCTATGCCTAGGCAACATGATTCTGATGACTGCAAGCGTTGCATCTTGTTCCACAAAATAGTCTCATCAATACAAAATGATCTGAAAACTTGATGTCATTGCAAACCTCGCTTACACCTTATTGAGGGTCCTTATTCACTGGCAAGATTTTTGCCTTGACAGTCAGAAATTCACTTCGTATAAGCTTAAGATGCATGTTCTGAGTGAAATTTTGGAAAATATTCTTTCCTTTTCTATCTAAAGGGTAAAAGGTATTCTTCCAATTTTTTGTTTTCTCTGAGAACGTTGACGAGATTGTGAATAGCTATAGTTGTAGTTACGTTGGGCTGAGTAAAACTTGATCCAATCCGCCCAGAACTTGCACTAAGGAACACATGTAATATGTATTCTAGTAAATCTGATGTTTTCCCTGTCTTGGAACACCAATATGGCCGCCGTAAGGTCATGTGAAAACGCTCTATAGAAACCATTTAATTGCAAGATAACATCATTTTACTACTTCTGTTCAATTACAGGTTCAGGCTAAAAAATTAACCAGTCAGTACCGCGACGTCATTGCAACTCTTTTTTTGTAATTATTCAAAACGCCACGGTTTCTGCTTCTTTGAGGCATTTCGGTTTTTAATGATTCGACTTGCGCTCTGATTATTTTGTTACCTTGGGGATGTTAGCCCTCTAAGCCATGCACACCGTGGCAGGTAAAAGCTAAAAAAACAAAGATGGTATTTATTTACAGTACGCGCATGTAGCCGTCGTTTAAAACATCAAACAAATCTAAAGGGCAAAGGCCCATGCTGGAAATAAATTCATCCCAAATAAGACGAAGCGAATTAACAAAATACCTAATCGATTACATGCGCGTTTTTTTTTTTGATACATTTTCTAGCACACCTACAGCAGCATCGTCAAATGACCAAATTCAGAAGTTTTTTTTTTCCCTGAAGAACGTGGGCGTCCGATGGTTTACTGAAACAATTCTCTTCTCGCAAGAGCTTTTCAGCCTTGTCTATGAATTGCATTACCTCCCCCCCCCCACCCCCCAAATTATATTTCTCAGGTGCATTGTGACAAAGGAAGCACTGACGAAGAGATCTCGCTTTAGATTTCTTCTTGTGGCCGATTTATTTTGTCATCAAGTTTCAAGTTGTTTCTAGACTGGGACTTTAAGGCTGACATGCTTCCGTGTTACATCCCTGCTAACACCGCATTTTCATAAGTCAACCGGCCCTCTATTTCAATTCTATATGCTGGGTCAATATACCTCTCTTATATTGAGCTTAAGGTAGCCGGTAAGTTTAATTATAGAAGTTTGTTTTTAAAATGGAATTGCAACATTGGTTTCCGCGATATTAAAGTTACCTCACGCTTGCCAGCTTTTTACGTTCGCTGGCATCCGACAAATAAACTACCGCCGGATGTCGTAAATGACACTCATCATGACAAATTATTTGCATGTAAACTCAAATCAGGTGGTTAAAAAAGCGCTTGGGAAAGCAAAAGCATTCATGAAAACTGTACTTTTAAGACCAGAATGATGTCGATGAAGATCAGTGAAGGTGAACCCCATTTGAGGGCCCACTATGTTTGATTATTGGAGCTACAGAAATGTTATCAGGTCTCGGATCTTTCTAGTTAAATTAATACAATAAATAAATATTAAAAATATAAATATGTATTCAACTCATCCTTGGTAGAGAGCATATAAGGTAGTGGCGCCGTGACAATGTCAGAAATTTCGAAAAAAAACAGAAATTGATCTCTTACCTCCTTCAATTCCAGTGACTACCACGACGATAGTTACGAGGAAGTTCATCTCGCACCCAAAGATTGTCTACTACTAGAAAAGTGATCAAGCTAGGTGCCGATATTATGATAATTGTCAAGAAGATAACCTACATTTAGCTGTTTTTTCCCTAATTAACGCGCTTAGCAACTTTGCGCACAAGTGATTGGACTGTTTTGACATTTCTGGCTTCGTCTNATAACAATGGTGAAATGAACAAATGCTGGTGGACAAACAAAGCGAGCTAATGAGCGATCTTTTGTTTACCGTCCACCAGCATGGCGGCGATGACGTAACGTGAAAACCACCTATTTGAGGGCCTACTGTGTTTGATTATTGGAGCTACAGAAATGTTATCAGGTCTCGAATCTTTCTAGTTAAATTAATACAATAAATAAATATTAAAAATATAAATATGTATTCAAGTCATCCTTGGTAGAGAGCACATAAGGTACTGGCGCCGTGACAAAGTCAGAAATTTCGAAAAAAACAGAAATTGATCTCTTACCTCCTTCAATTCCAGTGACTACCACGACGATAGTTACGAGGAAGTTCATCTCGTACCCAAAGATTGTCTACTACTAGAAAAGTGATCAAGCTAGGTGCCGATATTATGATAATTGTCAAGAAGATAACCTACATTTAGCTGTTTTTTCCCTAATTAACGCGCTTAGCAACTTTGCGCACAAGTGATTGGACTGTTTTGACATTTCTGGCTTCGTCTGAGCCAATCAGGTGGCCCGTGCGCGAGCAGCAACACATGAAAATGCGCATTACTCTCAGTTTCTAGTCAAAAATATGGGTAAATTCATTTCCAGCATACGCTTATAACTGTTACATTTGCCCTCTGGAATTTGTCAATATTTCTGAGGTTATAAACAATAAAAAGTTTCAACGGGCAAACCGTATTTACTCGGTTAAGCCCCGCGGCCTTAATAAAATTATCACTCTTAATGTTCAGCGTTTCCGATGCGGCATTTATTTGGAAGTCACATTTCTTAAAGCATTGAGAACAGTTACGGGAAATCATTCGTAAATATTATTCTCCATAGAATTGTAAGTGTCTGGAATACCAAAGATGACCAAGCCTTATACCGTATCTTTCCTATAATCCTTGAAAAAGACTTCGCGTTTTCTAATTGAGTGGGGCGTTTTTTCCAGGGGGTCGATTACTGGTAATTTTGCTTGTATATATCTGCGGCTTTTAATAAAAGGCGGTTGAATCGATTAAATACAGTTGCTACAAGGGAATCCGCTCATAGTTTAAATACATGTATGAAACGATGAATACATGAATTACATCAGTATATTCGAACCATGGAATGAAGAAATAAGTGCAAAGAATATAGGCTCGCGCAGTACGTAGGAAGGGGTCGGCAAGGGAGTCTATGTGCTCGTTCAACTGGAATCTAGCCTGTGTACAGGCTAGATCCCCCTCCCCTCAGTAAAAATTGGATTCGATTTTTATTGAGGGGAAGGGGGGGGGGGGTCTGTACACAGGCTACTGGAATCCGGAAATCAAAGCATGGAATCAAGAATCCAAGACTGTTTTCATTACCATAATGTTTCTTTAACGCACAACCCTAAGCGCGATCCCTGTTGAAACTCTGATTTCTTTCTGCCCTGTAAATAAAAAATCTGCCATTTTCAACCTAACTAATTTAGAAGGCTAGTATCGACTTTTCTTTCATAATGGGATCTCTCCAAACGAAATAAGAAGTAAATAAGAGATGACTGCAAAATTTCAAAACGAAAGAAGAACTTGGCGTTGTCCACGTTCTGCCGGGAGACATTTCAGCAACTGCCTCGTACCCAGACGTCTCTCTCTCTCGATGAAAATGTGCGCGCAAAGGAAGACGCGAAGGAGACAACGAGCGAGACTTCGCCTTCCCATGGTCCCTTGCGGTTCATCACCAGTCGCTCGCCTCTACCTTGCGAAAAACGAAGCCATCTTAGGGAAGCAAAGCGGCAGGTACAAAACGCAGGTCACAGGTCACCAATGCAGGTTAGAGTCCAGGTCACTGTGCTACGGTAAATAAACAACATTAAAAGTGTCTCTAACTTTAATCACAATC